AAATAAATAAAAAATTGCACTTACGACAATTGTTTTATCAACGTCTTTGCATTTCACAGCTAAAGTTTCCACGCACTTTTTTCGACATCTGCAGTCCTCGGAAAGTTGTTGACATTGGATGAACGAAACACACTCTGAGATTGTTTTAAGATTCGAAAAAATTTTGTAGTAATAGAAGAGACTTCGATCTTCAAATTCCACACATTTTTAACGTGAAATAAACATAATACTGAATAGAAGCACTTGAAAAATGCCAAATTCGAATTTGCACAAAGTAGCCCCGAATGACGGTACACGATTTTATGTCAACACATAGTTATTTATTATCTTAAATTGTCTTGAATTTATTATTAAACAATTGTGCACTCGTAAAATTTACTCACATGGAAATTCAGCTTTTTTGCCTGTTGGCCAATCTCATCCCTGTATAACCAATGTAACTTGTTTTTAAATATAAAGATATAGTTATCTGGTGCGTAGATTGAACAATTTTCTTTTTGAGTCGCAATTTGTAGTGTTTGCCTTTTATGATTTATTTTCAGATTATGAGGTAATGTTTCATTATTTTTTATAGAATATACGAATTATGGCAAAATATTATACTCGAATTACTCTGAAACGTATGGCTGAGCTACTGGACTTGAATGAAGCAGTTAGTATTTTCTATTTTTTAAACCTTTAATTCTCAGACTAATCTTCTTTTATAAATTTATTTCCAATTATGTTTTAGGAAACAGAAGAGATTCTTTCAAACTTGGTGGTAAACAAAACAGTGTGGGCCAAAGTGGACAGATTAGCAGGTGTCATTTCATTTTCTCAGTTAAAAGACCCCAATGAAGTTCTGAATGATTGGTCTCATGACTTGAATAGCTTAATGCAACTCCTGAGCAAAACTACCCACCTAATAAATAAAGAAGAGATGGTTCATAAACACTTACTTTCCGAAGCTTAAGTTAGATTCTGAGATGAGAATACGTGGTGAATATATTTATCAGATTGCAATTTTGACTCTTTAATCTGTGGACGAAATCTACAAAATGTTCACTTCAAACTATATTTACTTTATGCTTCTTAAATTTTGTTTTGAATGGTTTATCATAAATGAAATGTTTTCTCTTTTCTTGACAAAACATTTTTCACTCTTTATTAGTTGTTTTTCTCTTTAAAGGGTACTGTTATATATGTATTTGATAGTACATAATACATTTATTTAAGTTCAAAAATATCATATGTTTATGTCATAATAGTATGTACTTATTAATATTAAATTTGTATCACTTATAATTATCAGTAAAGTTTTTTTGTTGATAATAAAAATTTTCAATTGTAAATTGCTTTGAATTTTATTTTTAGTAATGTCATAGTATCGCTGTTCTAGTACTGACCATGCTGACACATCCTCTTACAGGGTTCCTACACGGTCAGGAAAACCTGCAAGAGTCAGGATATTCATTCAAAGACTGACAGGCAAAAATAAAGTTTCAAGGAAAAATTCAATAACAAAATATGTAATTTCCTCATAATAACATTCCTCTTTCCCTGGTAGAGCCTGTCCTGTTAGCAATTTTCCTCCTGTTTATCCAATGATAAGGAATTTTTGATAGGATTGCTACGTTTATTGCTCTTTGTGTGAATAACTGGTTTACAGACAACAGTTGAGAAAATTTCCTCTTTCTTGCACATGGAACATTTGTCTTAAAAGGTGCATAGAAGAGGAAAAAAATTCTCAGCCAGCCGGAATCTCAACTAAAAATGTCGAAGACTGTGTTAAGGATCCAATAATGCTACCAAAATTAGCATTCTTTAAGCTAATTTTTGAAGAATTTTAACTTTTATTTTAAATTTTCAAACCTCTCAGTCCATATTTATATTCCAGCATATTGGAAGTAACACAAAATCTTTTGCAGGTTGTGTAAAAAAGTCGGTTATAGACAATGCTACAACTGCAAAAAAAAAATAGCAAGTATTGACTTAACAAGCAGTGACAATCTATTAAGTGTTAATAATGTGAATATAGTTTTTGCAGCAAGTAAATATCTGAACATGATTAAAATTAGTGAGAAAGAAAAGGGATATTTCAAGTTAGAATGTCGAAAATTCCTTTTGACGACGGTGAAAAGAAAAAAAAGTCCATTGTTGTATAGTATGACACGTGGCATTTCAAGTTTAATTCCAGAATTGATCATTCAACATCCATCCATTGCACAACAAAGGATGGATACCTGTCTGGAAATTCTCCATGTTAATAACTGGATAGCTGAAACAACAGCAGAAAAAGCAAAAAAGGAATTTTTACTGTTTTGTGATGCTGCCAAGAAAAAAGAAGAGCAAAAGAGTTTCTTAGAGTTTAATCCACTGCAACAGAGATTAGATAAAAAATAATTCGAAATATTTGCATGGAGAAAAAAAATTTCAAAATTTGTAGGATTTTATGAAAATTGTTCTTATTCTCTCTCATGGTAACGTAACAGTCGAAAGGGGGTTTTCAGTCAATAAAAGCTTATTGGTTGAAAACCTCAATGAAGACTATTTTTTCACAAAGGCATGTGTATGATAATGTTTCATTTATAAATGGAATAAAAAGCATAGACATTAATAAAAAAATGCTAGATGCTGTAAAAGGATCTAGATCTAGAACAAGATTGAGACATGCATTAAAAGCCAAAAAAAAAAGAAAAACGAAGAGAATAAGAAAGCTGAAATTTCTAGAAAACAAATAAAAGAAAAGATGATTTGAAATTAAGAAAATCTAAATTGAAGAAAACTGCTGCAACAGAACTGGATGTTCTTGATTTAGAAATTGTCAAACAACAAAATATGTTGAGAAATATTATATACCTTTGATAATTATTGAAATAAAATTAGTTGAGACTATTAGTGCTATAGCTGAGTTAGTTAACTAGATTATATTTAATCACGATTGTTGTTCATTCGTGAAAATATGATAGCATTCGTTATTTTTGATAGCAGTTATGACTTGTAGAAGTAATATTATTGAATTTATAAATTAAAATTGCTGGCTGTTATACCTTGTATTAAAGTGATTGAGCCTATTGTTAATTGAATATGGTTGGGCCAGAATATTAATTAGAAGGAATTATTAACAATTGCTGACTAATGTGGATATTAAATCTTAATTATCAATTATGAACTTATTGTTATAAGATGAATAACTTTATTAGTTGTGGAATAGTATAAGCCAGTGACTGGTTTATGATTAATTAAATAATGTGAAAGTGATTTAAATAGTTGGCAAAGTTAAGTAATGAAGAATAACTTAAAGTTTTAAAAAAAAAAGAATGGGATAGTATATTAAAAACTAGTCAGAGTAATTTAGAAGAATTGATTGAGAATTAAAGTAATAGTTAATTAAAAAAAATCGAAATTAATTTAAAATTACGGCCAATAGTCGTACTTGATGGTATGTTGGGCAAAAGTGATCGTTTGCCTAATGAGTAATGTCAATTGGTGTCCAGTCTCTGTTATGACTATTCCATTTGTTTACATAGTGACAGTTATAGCAGACACTAGAATCCATATTTTACAATTCTGAGCTGGGTTGCGAAAAACCCAGGTTTTTCCAGAAAAATCCACCCAGGTAGGTTTTATTAAACTTTTCTGGGTTTTTTGTCTTTTTTATTTATTTTTTTTTTTTTGAAAGAGAGGGCAGGGATAAGTACCTTATTTTAAAAAAGCTTATTTTAATATTAATAATTAGGTTTAATTTTATGAATTAACACATAGGTAACTAAATTGTAATTAATACAAATAAATTGGTGCATAAGTCAATAAGGTTTTTTGTGACATCATAATGTTATATAAGCAGNTAAAATTATTTCGGTATTGACTTTTTGACGCAAATGGACACCGGTGTCCTTTTAATACATATTTTTTCTGATGCTATTATTACGAGTAAAAAGATATTTTGGTATTTTTTAATTATAAAAAACAGTCTAATAATTGCTAAACAAATCTGTTACATCAGTGTTCCCCAACCCCCGGTCCGCGGACCGGTACCGGTCCGTGGATCAAATGGTACCGGGCCGCACATTTCATTGAAACTGAATTTAAATTCCTAGGTTTATACCAAAAATCAAAAATATCTGTGTTCCATTATTTTATTTATTTAAAAAAAAAGGGCTCCCGAAGGTAGTGACATAAATTTTTTAACGTTTTAAAACGAATACTCCCAGATGGAACCATCTCATTGCAAAGAAACAAGCTCAGGGTTCCCATTAATTTATTGTTCTAGTAAATTAAAATATTAAATCACTTTATATTTATTTTTTGGGGTAATTGTATTTTATTTTGAAGGCATGTTTAAATACAATTAAATTAAAATTAATAAATCAAAATAATCTAAAATATAAACAATCAACGTCTCCACCCCTCCTACGGGCCGCGGTAAAATTATCAAACGTTGACAGGTCCGCAGTGATAAAAAGGTTGGGGAACACTGATTTAGAAGAATTGATTGAGAATTAAAGTAATAGTTAATTAAAAAAATCGAAATTAATTTAAAATTATGGCCAATAGTCGTACTTGATGGTATGTTGGGCAAAAGTGATCGTTTGCCTAATGAGTTATGTCAATTGGTGTCCAGTCTCAGTTATGACTATTCCATTTGTTTACATAATGACAATTATAGCAGAAACTAGTATCCATATTTTACAATTCTGAGCTGGGTTGCGAAAAACCCAACCCAGGTAGGTTTTATTGAGCTTTTCTGGGTTTTTTATGTTTTTTTTTTTTTTTTGAAAGAAAGGGCAGGGATAAGTACCTTATTTTAAAAAAGCTTATTTTAATATTAATAATTAGGTTTAATTTTATGAATTAACTTAACATATCGGTAATTAATACAAATAAATTGGTGCATAAGTCAATAAGGTTTTTTGTGACATCATAATGTTATATCTACTCGCATACATCACCCATTTGAAACTTATTGTAGCACAGGATTACTTTTTATTTATATTTTAATCTGATAAAATATTTCAGAAAAAAAAATTTTTTGCATAAAAAGCTAATCAAAGGCACTGACTCATCAAGGTGACTCTCCTGTCTCTAAACACAGTTTTTTCATCATAGGTTCATTTTTTCAGGCTAGGCTACCTAAATATTTCAATAGAATAGCTCTTTAATATAACAGAGGATAAAAAAGAAATCAATTTAAGAAAAATCCAGTAAAACCCGGTAGGTGTGCTTTCTTGCAACCCTGATTCTGAGTATGATGGGGACCTGCACAGTGCTTGCAGATTGGATTGTTGGTACAGTTAATTGCGCTCTGATTTAAATTTTGACAGTTATTATAGCGTGTTACGTTATTGAATTTTGAGATATAAGACACTTTACCACATTATCTACGTGTCAGCCACTTTTTCTTCTAGCTTATAAAAAGATAGTTTTTAAAAGGTTATCTATTGATATGACCAAGCCATTTAATCTGTTAGATTTTAATAAACTTCATTCTTTAACTTTAATTATGTAAAATTTTATGAATAATTATCATAAATTTGCTAAAAAAGAAATTTAAAAACAAACATTCTTAGCATTAAGTTTTATACTCTAAAAAAATACAAATGAAAAATTAAATTATAAACTTTTAAAATTCAATGCATTTTAATATGTATAAAAAATTTTATTTAAAAAAATTTAAGCAACTTTAGAATAACACAGTATTTATTTTTTAAGGATTAAATGAAAATAAAACATGATGTGAAATTAATATTTTTGCAATGTCTAAACAAATCCAAATTTAAATAAAGTATAAAAGAGAAATAGTGTTATTTCTCAAATGTGTGCTCCGCATATTTTATAAAACAATAAGTAATAACAATGCTATGCTCTATTTTTTTTACATGTTATCAGTTATAAACTGTTATACTAGATTTCCATTTTTTTTTTTTGCTATAATAACAGTATGAAAACATGATCAGTTAAAGCTATCTTTATCATTTTAACACAAAATTAGTGCTGCAATTCTAAGACAAGAATTTTGTTTTAAAATCTTTCAAACAGAACAACCATATAGTTACCATTTAATTACAATTGACAAAAATCAAATAACAAGCATTTTATGAAAGACATCTGCAATTTTAAACCATCACAGGGTGTACTTTAGTAAATTAATAAAAGGTAGCATATACTTTCAGGCCCAGACTGGCCAATAGGCAGACCGGACAAATGCCCGGTGGGCCGAGCCAGCAGCGCAAAAAAATTTTTAATACATTGCACAGTGGGCCAGCATCCACGGTTTCGTGGCCAAAATTATTATTTCGATAAAATTTGGGGTTTTTTATGTGCAGGTGTAACTTGATAGATGAGATTTTGA